GAGAAGTAGTATGGGGTTAAATGAATTTGGTAAAACAAGGATAGAATACAAGTAAGTGTCATAGGGCTAGAGAGTTTAAATAGATAATCTTCAAATAGATTTCAGGTATAGCAGCTAGTGTAGAACCTTTAAGCAGACTACTTAAATTAAACAATCTAAAGTTGTACGTATGGCTAGTTGTACTCTCACAATATGTATCATTTACTCACTATCAATACCAATAAAAAATTTGGCTGATAGCATTTGAATAAAGTAAAAAAAAAAAAAAAAAAAAAAAAAAAGATAACAACTACAATCTCTAAGAAATTATAAGTTAATTCTTTGCTCGATATACTCACTATAATATACTTACCTTTGATCCTACATACTATAATTAGTATAATTATTATCTTAAATCAAGAATACTACTCCTATTTGTGAAACTCTTTCACAACTCAAATATACTCTAAACTAGGAAGTCCTCAAATATTAGTTGATACACTATTAATATTTGAAGATCTTATAATACCTCCTTCACTTTTTAATTTATTACTACCTATAACTCTTCTACTTTTATTACAATAACAACAATCTGCAATAGCTAAATACTACTACTACAGCAATAACTAATTTTGCTAATGCTTTAGAACAAAAATCTGAGAAAAGCCTCATTAAAGTTGAATACTTCTAAAAAGATGAAACTCAAAATCTAGAGGAATAGTTCAAAGAATTTAGAAGAGCTACTACTGCAAACAAATAAGATAATATTAGGAAACTTGAACTTGTTTCAGTCTTTCTTAAAGAAGTTGCTCTTGATTAGTATACCACCTTCAACTCTGTTCACAATGCTTTTGATAATGATATCTATCAAGACTGAAGTTTCAAATATTTCTTTCAAACTAGATTTTATACCTCTAAACAGAAAGCTATTTGGCAAAAACAATTCTTCGAGATTAAACAAGGCAATAATACTATAGATATATATATAAATAGATTTAGAGAATTAAAAATAAAAATTAATAGAGCAAATACCTTCTCTACTACTTTTGTTATTCAACTTTTTATTCAAGAACTATGTTCTGAATATGCTATAAACATACAATCATTAGAGTCTACTACCTTAAATACTGCTATAACTAGTACAAAAAAATAGAAAACTAGATATATAATAGTATTTAACAAGAATACTGAAATAGACCAAGCTATTAAAACCTTAACTGAACAAATTGCCTAACTAAGTATTAACCTTGTACAGAAACAACCTGCTATTAAAGAGACCAACTATATTGAATCCTTTAGACCTTCTAGACTGCAAGCTACTTGCTATTACTATAGTAAAAATAACTATTTTATTACTCAATGCCAAACTAAAAGGAATGACCAATATAGAGGAAATAGAAACCAAAGATATAACTCAAATAATAATTCAAAAGAAAGAGTTTCAAGACCCCTTACTGAAGATCTGATAACTAATGAGAAAGAAGAGACTGATTACAAAGTCAAAAAAGAAGTTATTGAAACTGGAATAGAGATAGCAGAAGCCAAAGTTACTCACAAGAATCTGACGGAAAGAATAAATACCAAAAAGCCTTCTCCTTTTACTCTAGAAATATTAACTATCTAAACAATAACAAAAAAGATTATCAAAAATCTTAAATGACTCAAGACTAATAGAAAGTCTTCCTTGCTAATGCCTCTATTAAGAATGCTCTATCTGCATACTTGTATAAGAAAGCCAAAGATAAAAACTTATTATCTCAATTTGTTACTTTTGTCAAGTATAATATACAAATTAAAAACCAACTCTACTAAGCAATAATTGATAGTGGTGCTACTATGAGCATTATTACTTATAGTATTATAAAAGAGCTAGAATTAAAGCTTAAACATGTCTCTACTAACCTTATTGTATCTGTTGTTAGAACCTTCACATAACTTTTTAGAATTATTAGAGACTTTTCTATAAAGATTAAAAATGCTTGTATATTTATTACAGTTAAAGTAGTATTTGCTACTTCCTACTTACTACTACTTGGAAATAACCTATTTAAAAAGATTAAAGCTAACTATAATTGGGCTAATGAATACTACTTATTTAAATAGAATAACAAAAAATACTAAACTACTACTACTTATAAATTAGACTACTTCTTGCTCAAACAACTAACTATTACTAACTCTGAAGATTTCATGATAACCTATAAAATATATATTTTTACTAACAAGATAAAAGCTAAGGAACTCTTGTTAATTGCAAAGTTTGTAGAAAAGAAGAGCCTAGATCACAAATACTATTTGAAAATTGTAGTACTCAGGATCTATAGTTCTGTAACCTAGAATACATATATGTCTACAAAGCCTATATTGATATTCTCTACAATCACAACTATAACCTCTGAACTAGAATTAAACACTATACTAAATCTATATAATATACTAGAAATACATATAATCTTAACAAAATCTTAATATTTAGACTGGCTAAAGTCTTACTTGAGAAAAGTGACTTCACTATTCAAGAAGTCTTTGAACTCCAGACCTATAACTAGATAAACTACTAATAGTTAATGAATAAAATATTACTTTTATTAAGAGTAAAAAAAGATGTGCTCTATAATAACAAAGAAACAATTCTATAACAAACTTTAGGAAACTCTATATAAAGATTTAACAATTAGAAGACTGAGTTTAGAAACTAAAACAACTCAACTAACAACTTCTCCAACTACTCATTAATGATTCTTAATATATTAATAAACAAACCCAACAACTACTTTCATTAGTCAATGAATTAAATTTTTAGAGAATTCTAAGTAGGATGAAAAACTACCTGATGAAACAGAGCCTAAAAGTTTTTTATTTGAAACAGAGATTTATACTATAGACAAAGAGCTACAACCAGAAATAGAATCTCTAACAATAGAACAAGAACAATTATTTAAACAATTATTATCAATTTGCAGACCTTTTCACAAATGAAAAGAATAAACTAGGTAGAACTAACTTAGTTACTTATTGAATATATATAGAGAATATATTTTTAATACAATTATGATCTTATTCAGTATTAACAAATAAGCAAGAATTTATTAAACAAAAGATTCAAAAGATGCTAGAAAACAAACAAATACATACTTCAGAAAGCCTCTAAACCTAATCTATAATACTTGTTAAAAAGAAAAATAGAAAATTACAGTTTTGTGTTAACTAATAAAAGCTTAATAGTATTACTAAAAAGAATACATACCCCTTACTAAGAATAGACAAAATGTAGGATACCTTAGCTAGATCCAAATAGTTTTTAACCTTAAATCTCACTAGTAGATACTGGCAAGTACAAATATACTTAGATAATAAGAAAAAGACTGCTTTACAACTCGATATAGAATCTACAAGTTTAATATCATGCTCTTTAGACTATATAATGTCTCTGCAATATTTCAAAAATTAATAGACTGAGTTTATAAGGACTTTGTATAGAAATTTGTTGTTATCAATTTTGATAACACAATAATATATTTATAAACATTTAGTAATCATTTGAAACATCTAAGAAAAGTATTTCTACAGATTAGAAAAGCTGAATTAAAATTAAATTTAGAGAAATATCAATTTTGAATACAATGACTACCTTTTCTTAGACATATAATAACTCTACAAGAAATAGAACTAGACTTAGGAAAAGTTAAAGCAATTAAGAAATTAGTATCTCCTAAGAATATATCTTAGCTATGCTTATTCTTAGAACTTGCTAAATACTACAAAAAGTTTATTTAAAACTTTTCTGAAATAGCTAAACTACTGAACAAACTATTGAAAAAGAAACAACAATATAATTAAAAAGAAGACTAAGATAAAGCTTTCAATACCTTTAAAAAGAGATTAATAACTGCATCTATATTAGTATACTCTAATTTTAAACAGATATTTATAGTAGCTACTAATACTTTATACAATAGATACAGAGCTACCTTAAGTCAAATAGGCTTTAACAACAAAGAACACCTAATTGCTTATACTAGCAAAAGTCTTCGACCTAGAGAAATAAATTATAGAGCTACTAAACTAAAGTATGTTGTGATAGTATAGACTATTGAATATTTTCATAAATATTTAGAAACCTCTAAATTTATATTTATAACAGATTATATAGCTCTCAAATAGTTACAAACTACTAAACTAAAAGAAAAAATAGAAAGATAGATCTTAAAGTTATAATCTTATAATTTTGAGATAAACTAGGCAGAACATCAGAAAATTTTTTTAGAAGCTATATATTAATATATAGCCTTTAAATGCTATATATCAATTATAAATTATCAATATATATTAATTAACTACTATATATTGATATATAGTACTATTAATATATATTGATTATAGCTATATATCAATTAATATCACTAACAATATATAACGATTATAAAAAATTTGTGAATATTTTTTAAAATTTAATAATTATTTTTTTGATAACTAATAATTCAAATTAGCTCAAATTTTAACTATATATAAAATTAATATTTTTCTATAACATATTAAAATTTTAGCTAATTTGGATTAGTAGTTTATGAGAAATCACTAAAATATAATAACAAATTTTTTTAAAAAATTAATTATCATATATTAGCGATTTCTCATGAACTACTAATCCAAATTAGCTAAAATTTTAATATAATATAGATGAATATCAGTTCTATATATAGTTAAAATTTAAGCTAATTTGAATTATTAGTTATCAGAAAAATGATTGTTAAATTTTAAATAAAATATATAATATTTTTGTTATATATCAATAGTAATCTCTAGTGATTATATATAGTAAGAGGGCTAAATATTATATAAATCTAGAGATTACTATTGATATATAGTCTCTAAAAAAATTTTCTGATACAATTCACTCAAATTTAGATGCCCACTCAAGATTGAAACAAGAAGAAATCATAACATATACATGAATTTAGACCTATATTAGAATTTATATAATTATTTAAAAACAGAGCAATTACTAGATAATCTAAATAATGAAGAGTAAAAACAGATTATAAACTAGAGCTAATTTTTCGAAACAAAATATAACTTACTATATAAAAGAAATAAAAAAGACTGAAACAACCCTATATAAGTAATTAAATAGACTGAAGTAGAGCCAATACTATATATGATACATAACTATCTAACTGGTGAACATTTAGGAATAAATACTATGTATAATAAGATTGCTATATGATATTATTAGGACCAAATATATAGAGATATTCAAGCATATGTATATTCTTGTACAGAATGCTAAAAGAGATTGAAAACTAGAAGAAAAGAACTACTTCACCTAATTCAAGTAGGAAGAGTCTTTGAATGAATTAGTATTAACCTAGTAGAACCTTTACCTATTACAACTCAAAATAATTGATATATAATAGTTGCAACAGACTATTTAACTAAATAGCTAGAAGCCAAAGCTATTTTTGATACTAGAGCAAATACTATTACAAAGTTTATATTTGAAGAAATTATCTATAAGCATAGAACTCTAAAGATAATACTCTCAGGCCAAAAAAGAAATTTTTTTTTTTTTTTTTTAATTAAAGGTGGCTTACTTTGCTGAGCGGATTTTATTAGTTTAATATATGAGGTCGTCTGTTAACAATCCCCTACAGTTTGTAATTATATGAAGAGTGTACAACCTGCCACATTTACAACTTTAGTTATTGTCTAATTTAAGTAGTCTGCTATACAGGTAGATTATCTGTTTGGTTCTACACAAGCTGCCATACCTGTAACCTGCTTGTGAGCTATCTATTTAAATACTCTGTTTATCTAACCAATACTGGAACAACTAACGTTACTATAACACCTAACCTCTTAAACTAGCTAGCTCGTTGCAGATCTATTTACCTAACTCAGCTTAGGTCTTCTCAGGATGCATATTGCTCAACATACTGTAGCACGCAGAGCTCCAGTTAACCTCGTAAGCAATTCTACTAGAGCAGTCCATACCTATTTCACAGATTTACCTAGTTTAGACCCTTGCAGATATTCATATAACCCCAGTTTCTACTGTGGCTCTTTACTAGTTTTCCATATCTATTTTCTCGAATGTTTCACAAGGCAGATCCTACTAATCCAGTTAGCTACCAAGCTAGATTGGTATTACTGATCCTCTCTATAGAATGAATTTATACGCACTTGACTCGATTGGTATCTTTTGACAATAGTTTCTTTTCTGGATCAAGCATTAGCTAGTATAACTGTTAAAAGCCATACTACTTGACTAACTCAGGATTTCTACCATGCAGGTCCTCTGTTCATAGATCCTATCAAGATTTATTCATATAACATTACACTCTCTGAATATTTTGTCATACTTCCAATATCCGAATAATATTAGTGCAATGTAATTTACAGGGTTACAACTCCAAAAACAAACAGGGTTTACTGTAAGTTGGATACAAAGATCTGGGTAATTATTCAAATTCATTGATAGTGGGATTTGAACTCCAAACCTCTTGCATGGCAGTCTGGCAACCTAACTACTACACTAAGATCACCAGACCTCCAAAGAAGAAATTTTATAAGTAAAACAGTTAGAATTTTATATAAAAAATTCTTAATTATACACAAATTCTTATCTGCATTCTATCTTAAACAAATAAAATAGTTGAAAGACTTAATAAGACATTATGTGAATCTCTTGCTAAAGTAAAAGAAACTAATGAATAGGATCTATATATATTAACTGTATTGTTAGCATATAGAATCAAAAGATATACTACAACAGGATATATACCTTTCAACTTGTATATAGTAGATAAGCAATACTACTAATTGAAACAATTCTACCTATAGAGCCTGTAGAAAATGAAGAAATAGATCTAAGTGATAGTATATTACAATGAGCATATGAGTTAATAGAAAAATTACTTTCATATTACCAAAATGCAAGAGACAATATAGAGAAATTACAACAAAAACAGAAAGAATATATAGACAAATAAGTTTATTTTAAAGACTTTAAAATAGGAGAAAAGTTTAAATACAATAAAAAGATATTGAATACTCTTACTTAGCAAAATTTGAAGATAAAAGAATTAGACCTTAAATAATACAAGAGAAATTAGAAAATAGAGCTTATAAAATAGGAACAGAAAATAGAAAAATATTAAAAAAATATTATAATAGTGATAGACTTGCTAAATATTATGAAAAGCAAGTATAAGAACCAATAATTGTTATCTAAATTTTTAGAAGAAATTTTTATTAGATAGATAAAATTAGTAAAACAGATATTGTATAATCTCAAAAGTATAAATAGTATCAGAATTCAACAAAAATTCTTCTAAAAAGAAAATTTTTAAAAAGAAATGGACAAATTAATACTACAACCTCAAACTTTAATTGATTTATAAAATTTTATTAAAGAATAGTATACAGATCCTGTATTACAATATCACTAGGCCTCCACATAGGCCTGGGCTACCCAGGGGTACCCGGAGGTAGTACTACAAGGGCTGGGCCAGAGTATTAATTTTTAAACTCTAGGGTAAAGGTAAGGGCTCAAAAGTAGGCCCTTATAGAAGCGAGTAGAGTTAAGGTATCACTAGTATCTAGCCCTCATTTTAAGGGTACCCTTATGTTAAGAAATCCTAAATTGCACTGCACCATAGCGTAGGCTCGAACTTGCTAAATAAATAAAGTAGAATGTGCTACATCTAGTGTGAGCCTGTACTTTCGATCCTCACTTGTACTTCATCACATAAGCATCCACGTGATCATCAAATGAAAAATCCGTAACTGGAGGCACAATAAGTGTTTGAAGGAAATGGCGAAGTAGAGCGCTGCTCTCATCATGTATCTTCATATAATGTTTAATAAAAAGATCCGAGTGAGAATAATTGTGATTCGTCAGATTATGATATATTTTACTTGTTAATTTTATAAATTTATTTATTTATTTATAAATAATATAAAGTTGTTTAACTCATTATACTCCAAGTATCCTTGTTTCCTATATAAGAGTGATTTACAAATTTGAAATTTTTACTTTTTTAATCTAAAAACTGGTTATGGTATTTTAACAATAACGGGAACAAGTAAAGATAATAGCTCTAATAAAAACGAGGGAAATACTGTACTTGGATAATTATACTATTTTATTTATTTCAAAGTATTTGAACTTTAAGTGTTGTATTTGTTGCAATAAATTTTCTCAATTATTAAGAATAACAAAGATAATTTGGATAACATGAATAGAGAATATACTTACTATTTTTTAAGTTATTATCTTGGATATAAAGGTACAAATATAATGCTTGAATATCTGAGATTCTGGGATCATGTAATCTCAGCCTTCAGAGATTCATGCTAAAAGTAGCTTATCTGCAATATTATAGGACTAACAGGTTCCAACTAGTTTAATACTGCTTAAATTTATCGTTAAACAGAACATCGACAATACTATATTAATATTTTATTATTATGGAAGATAACATCAATATTTATCATATTTAATACATATAGGTAGTACATATTTCTTTTTTTTTTGTATGTACGTACGTATTGGTATCAGGTATAGATGTATGGAAATTCAATTAATTGTATAAAAATAATTCAAGAGCAAAACTAAACTGTATCTAATTAAGATAATCATATTTAATGATAACTATTTATGTGTATAAGTTATTGAAACGATAAATTTGGCTTATCTCAATACATTATTCTATGTCATAAGATTTTTAGATTCTCTGTATTATAAATTGACTTCAGGTTTTAGAATTTTTGTAAATATAAATCGCATATTTATTTTTTATTAGTCTAAAATCTAATATTGACTAGTTTATTTTATTACAAATCTCACTAATAAAATGTGCTAATAAAACTATCTAAAACCCACTAACAAATCTATTATCTAAGTATCAATCACTCGTATATCATAAATTTTTTTAAACCTTCCCATTTAAAGATTTTATAATAATCAGTAAAATTTTTTCAAAGATCTATAAAAACTGACGTAAAAAAAAAAAAAAAAAAGATAACAAATAACAAAATACGAATTTTAAATAAAAATATTAACGTGCTAATATACTAGTGTAGATGTATCAGATGTTGGAAAATATTAATAGGATCGCTAAGTCTTTTAATCACTGAAAACATAATTTCACTATAAAAATTAACACGAAGTATATAATATAGATGACTATGACGATGATGCAGTATATAATATAGATGACTATGGCCATGACGAAGACACTATAACAAGCCATGATGAAAACACTATAACAAGCCATGATGAAGACACTATAATAAGCTATGATAACTCTGCTTCTACATTAGTTGAATCAGAAATATCAGAATCAGTTGCTACTAATTCAGCTGATTTATAAAAGCTCACATCTTCTGTTTGGAAAAGTTATACTTTATTAGCAAGTGAACAAAAGGCTATGTGTAATTATTGTAAAAGCAAACTTAGTCATAAAAAAGGCAATGGAACATCACATCTTCGACGTCACCTCAAATCATGTAAAAGGTACCAAAAATCAGTACCAAATAGTGATTCAACAAAACTGCTAAAAGGCCAAACACAATTGGAATTTACTCCATTAATTAAACAACCTTTAAAAGGTTCAAACCAGAATGATATAGTTGACATGATAATTAGAGATGAACTAAGTTTTCAGTTTGTAGAGAAGCAAGGTTTTCGAAAATTTCTTAATAGAGTATTGCCTAATTTTGCTATTAGTTCTGATACAGTAAAGCGAGATATTATGAAAGCCTATGATAAAAGAAAGATTTTTATCAAAAAAATCCTTCAAAGTACAAATAGTAAAATCTCTCTAACCTGCGATATTTGGACCTCGCTTCAGCAACTGGGATATCTAGCAATTACTGCGCATTTTATTAATCAAAACTGGAATCTTGTCTTTATTCTACTATCATTTAAATTAATCCCCTTTCCTCATTCTGAAGTTAATATCGCCAATTGCATTAAAGTTAAAACGGATGAATATTTAATTACTACTAAGGTAATAGAAATTTTATTGAAAGTAATTTAGTAATCTGATATTTCTCTTTCTTGGTTTTTCAATATTTATCTAAACTAGTTTTGAATAGGTTTGTTTCAAGTCATATATATAATTTATTAATATACTATGTCAGAATTAGAGAATAGCGTATTTTGTACAGATATAGAAAAGATTATAATTAAGTAATAGAGTATCAAGTTAAACTTTAATAAATTAGTACTTTAATATTTTATAATAAATTAGTACGAACTTTAAACTAATTCTCAATATAGCAATAGACTAGAACAGGCGAAATTTCTCAATCTACTTTATATAATAATACCTTTGGCATTATTCTATAACGATATAGTAGAATATCAAAAATACTAACATTACATCTTAAATTTTATAGCTATAATCTATCACTCTTGACAATGCAAGGTCAAATGATGTTGCAATCTATGAATTGGCTGATTATATTTCCCAAGACACGTTTACTAGCATTAGTGAAGAATATTTTTATAACCGCTGTTTTGCGTATATTTTAAATCTTATAGTAAAGGATAGTTTAAAAAAAATTATAGGAACAGTTAGCAAAGTAATTATACATTAGGCTATACAAACTTAATTACTTGATTTTCATAACATGAAATTTTAAATCAGACTTAGCCCAGTTATGAAACTCAATTTATTAATTTTATATAGTCTTATTCAGTTTAATATTTGGATTTTTTAATAATTTACTTAATTTTTCAGATTTGTAGCTGCGTTAAAGCATTACACTCATTTCCAAAGAGATATCAAACATATTTAGATATTTGTGAATATGATAAATTTGAAAATCCTATAATCCCATCATTAGATTGTGATACTTGCTAGAACTTCACATATATGATGTTACGATCAGCAATAAGAATAAAAAATGCTATTATTCGAATGGGAGATCGTGATCAAACTTTTCCAGACCTACCTGAGGAAGATGAATGGACAAAAGCAGATAGTATTTGTGCTATTTTAAAACCATTTTATGACTGTATGTTATTTATTTATTGAGCCTTTTTAAAAAATTTATTCTATAGAGTTTTATTAATAATAAATTCACTAAATCGAATAAATTTTATATATCTAAATTTAGTCTTTACTTGTTTAAAAATCACTATAATTGCATTTATTATTTTTTAAATACAGATACTCTAAAAGCATCAGCAAATTCTTATCCAACCCTTAATAATACCTTCGCCACCATTCTAAATATTCGTATACATCTTCTTAGTATGAGATATCATACTGATAGCTTTATTCGTGATGTCTCTGAACCTATGATAGATAAATTTAATAAGTATTGGGAAGATAGTAATCTGCTATATATGATTACATGCATCCTTGACCCTCGTTATAAATTGCAATTTATTTCATTCTTTTATCGTGAAAAGGAAAGATTAGAATCAGATGATTATAATGAAAAAATACAAGATATTAAATTAAAGTATAAGTTATATATTTAATTTGATTACTTACAACTTTATACTACTAATATTAATTATAATTATAAAAATTAGATTTGAAAATATGTATCTTCAAACTTACTATTCTCCACCAACTATTGAACGTTCAACTAGTCACGAAGCTATTAGTGCTGCAGATAATACATCAATGTTTGAGGATCATATTAGTAATTTTTTTGAATATACAATAAAAAGGGCTAATGAAAATAATACACTTTATGAAGTTAATCAATATTTAGGTGAACCAATTGCAATCAAAACTACTAATGTTCTCGAATAGTGGAAACTTAATAAAGATCGCTTTCCAACTTTGTCAAAAATAGCTCAAGACTTTCTTGCAATACCATCTACTAGTGTTGCATCTGAACAAATATTTAGTTGCGCAGGTCGTACCATTAATGATGATCGTGTTTCATTAGATCCAGACACAGTAACTGCATTAATATGTCAATGAAATTGGTTAGAGGCAGCAACAAAGTTTGGATGGGACTCAATTTAATAAATGTAAAAAATTATTGATAACATAAATTGCTACTTTTTTACTATCAAAAATTACTCGTAAACTAATATATTTAAACTGGAATATTAACTTATAGATTCTGATTAGACATATAAGTCTAATTCCAATTAAAATTATCAAAGATGCTTCTATTTTATTTTATTTTTTTTTTTAACTCTTTGAGTTTTTTTTTTTTTTTTTTTTTAACTCTTTCAATTTTGTTTTTTTTTAACTCCTTCGATTTTGTTTATATTTGTTAATAATTAACTTGAGTCAATCATATTCATATGCCATGCAACAATTAAGATATTTTAATTTAGATATCAAAGTAAATGGTTTGTTTTATAACTATAAAATTTTATAATTGCAGTTAATTATTTTGGAGCGGTGTATATCATTAATAAACTATTTCATTTGCGACTATTACCAAATTATAGTTAAAAACCCGAATTTAAAGTTTTCTGTATGGTATTTTGATTAACACAATCCAAAGTCCCAAACGAACAAAAATTATACGATTTTAGACTTTACATCAACTCCTATTAATGATTACTATAGCATATAAGCAGAAAATTTCAATTTTAGTGATTATTTAAATCATAATAGCCAATTTGGCTTTTTGGATCCTTTTTAAATGAATTGTTACACGGAAGTTTTATTCTTAGTTAACATTGAAAAGTCAACAAACGAAACACATCACAATCAGCTTTCCTAGTACATATACGAGATAAAAAGCAAATAAAAATAAATAAACAGCTGTACTAAGCAATAGAAAGAAGTGCTATCGCTAGTTGTTGAAACGTTCAGGTATTTATGGATTGGTTTGTCATTAACCTATTAGTTTAGTAGTGAATTTGGAAGAAATTTTAAGAAAACGTCCGTTTAAACTTGCTTTGGACCTATAATTAAATATATAGAAAATAATATTACTGTAGTAAGTTTAGACCCATGGGTAGTTCACGGGTACCCATAGACCTAATAAACTGGGTAGGGTAACAGGTTTTAGGCCCTAGGGTAAGGGTAAGGGCTTAGAAGTTAAATTCTTATACAAACAGGTAGGGTTAGGGTATTGCTATTACCCGGCTCTACCTGGCCCATGCGGAGGCCTAAATATCACCTTTAGATTACTTTACAAAATATTATTTTGTCAAATAATGAAGATGTTACTTAACAAGTTGATCTTACTTCTATGATCACTGAAACAGAGAATATAATTAATGAACCAGAAACAGACCTACTTACTTTGAAGATACCAGAA